GTGGAAGTCGAAAATCTGGGTGGACGGTGCCTTTAAGGTGGCTTTCATTTTGAAGATGCGCATGAACATCATTTCTGGAAAGCTATCCGCATCCAGAAATCATTCAACTAGGAAAGGATCCCAAATCGCAGTGGCGATCTGAAACGAAAGGCATCTTACTGGATGTGTTTTGTTGAGCTGAACCCTATTCTTTTTCCTTGTCTGCTGCAGAGCCTCTGGAAGAAGTTATTAGCCAAGAATGGCAGACATTCATGGCATCCTGTGCATAACCTGTAGTCATCACTTTCAACTTTCCTTGCCAATCATCTTGGACTTCCAAGCTGATCTGAATGCACATTATGCATTAAGACCCGAATGACTTCAAACTTTTAACAGCTCAGAACTTCTTCCAGAAAATTCCGCGACGGATAGCGAGCTAGATTTGGAATCAACACATTAAAACATTCAACAATATGTTGAATGCGTCCTGATGTATTGATATACAATATGTGTTTCAGTCCACTTCTTCGCTGCGATTTGGGATCTCTCCCTTGAAAAAAGAAAAAAATACTTACAAGTCTTCACAAATGCAGGAAGGAGTCTTGGCCCTTTGCACGCTCTCATTTGACTTACAAGGAAGGCATGTTTAGTTGGAGTGGCCTTCTTAGAAGGAATGTATACCAGATTGAAGAGCATAAAATGCTGATTTCAAATCTGCCTTTCTTATCTGCGATGCATTTGTGGTCAAGGAATTATGGGCGTTGATTGGAGAAAAAAGTGAATGTAGATTTAGGTTGAAATGAGGTGCTAAAAGCCTTTTAGCCCTCAGATAGAGCAGCCAAGTGTAATATACTTTTCATTCAAAACTATTTATTGAATAAGGTGCTATGATTATTATCACTGCCCCTTGAAGCGTTAGAAAGAATATTACGGCTTTTTTTGCCAACTTGCACATATAATTTTTCTTACTTCAGTAAACGCTCATGACCCCTCTTTTATAGCAGTTTCGCAGTTATGGAAGGCAGATTTGAAATTAGCGTTTTATGCTCTTCAACGAAATGCGGTATATTTTTGCCAGAGCATTCCTGGCTTCTCCCACGTGAGTGATTCTGTAGTATGAGGCTTTAGAAGTATAATCATGAATTTTCAGCTTTAAATGGGAGCTAGTTTTCGAAAAAGATCAATTTGTTTGCAAAAAACCAGAAAAACGCGGCTATTCGCACTTCTGACCTATTTTTATTTCTCGCACTGCAGTCATGGAAAAATACCACATTCTATACAAGTGGATGTCTAATGTAGAAAGTACATGCCTGTGGAAATTGGAGATACATAAGAAGTTTATGAACGGAGATACGATTTTTCGGATATCTAGAATTATTTATTTTGGATTCGAACTTCAGGTGGAGCACGGTTTCCGCGGAGTTTTGTAGACTCTCTTGTAGAGCTTGCCTTGCTCTATCAAATGATACACCACTCGCTGTTTTTTGTGGCCAATCTATCGCAGTAAGATGCCATGCGACGTTGTTTTCCGGACAACCTAATATTTTTCATTCAAAACTATTTATGAATATATAAAGCGCAAGCACCCCCATCTGACGTCATCGCTCGCGCCGGAGGTGTAAACATGTCCGTCGTTTTGTGCCGATGCAAGCGTACCGAGCTGATGACTCATAGCGGCAGTGATGCCTGTCTTAGATGATAATGTCGATCAGTTGGCATAACCAAAAATATGCAGTTACTAGACAAGTTAACCCTTTCGTATGGTTCGAGTCGTTTTACAAGAGCGACCCGAATTCGATTCAGTTGGAACAGGTAGTTTACAATTTTTCTCAAACCTCCACATTCTTTCAATATTACTACAGAAGACTGCATCTTTTGTTCCTCAGTAAATTTGGAAGAAGCACCCTATTATAATGATTCAAGAATATTTTCAGTTTGTTTGAGAAGCTCTGAAAAGTTCGTACAGGAAACTGCATCCAATCCGTTTTTAGATAGAATGATTTCAATTCTTTAATTTGAGCACGACCTCTTTTACGACTTCCAACATGTGATTACCATTTTTTTTGTTCTAACAAGTGCAGCCGAAACCGTTGTTTTATTTAAACCGTTAATTTATTTTTTGACATCTCAAGCTTCTCTATTTTCACACTGGAGCGTTTAATTTGGAGTGCACTATAAGTTTTCAAAAATGTCAAATATTTCCGTAAAATAATGCCCCCCCCCCCTATTCATTTCTCGAGTGCGTAATATATTTCCTCAACCCAAAACAGTTGCCAAATCTTTTCCAATGGATTTATCCTGCCTTCTAATCTTTCTGCTAACATATCTCAGCAAGAAGTTTTGAACTTTTCGGATTCTTTCATGAAATGCTTAGCAAATGTTTTTATCTCAGACAACCTGCACTAGATCTGTCTGGAAATTTCTCGCAGCTACTTCTACCTTCCTCCGACAATGTGTACCTATGATTTTATTTTGAATGAGTACTCCGTTTGAAATGTTTATTTCATTCGAAAAAAATTGTCAGGTATTTCAGCAGAACATTGCAGCCTTTCGAATTTCAAGTGCTTTACTTCTCACAAATGTCGATGCTGATCCACTCTCGAAAGCAACTTTATTCTGTGTTTTTAACAGTAATTTGAGCACAGTTTTGATCGTGCAACACTTTGTTGGACAGCACGACACTGAATTTCCCTAGAAAACATTGTTAACTCTGTGCAAGAGATCAGTGATCGACACAAATTCTTGAATCAAATGTTTAGCATCTGTGAAATTGTAACGCTATTCAAAAGTTATTTACAAACATCATTCATTCTGCAAATGTCTGCTTCTCAAAACGTGTCAAAGAGTGCATTTTAGACTATCATAGTTTTTACTTCACGCGTCAAATAGCTAAAAAATTCGCGCTCTTCAAAAATGTTACATGCTTTTGTACTGATTGCTCAAAGATCTCTGCGAATGAAAAAGCTGTTAACAGTCTAGCTAGAATCACAACTTTCAGGGGTCATATGCTATACAGATGTGAATAACCTCAAATATGTATAAGGAGAGATTTTAGGTGATCAGCTAAAAGATAACACCTTTGAGTGGGTCCTTTGAAGAATTTGAATCAGTAGCTTCGTAAACAAGATAACCTGAAGATTGATGGTTTTTGGAGCACCTATGGATGAACTGCAAGGATGCTGGACGTTTGGAAGCCCTCATGAAATGTGATCGAGAGATTTGTCATTGAATTTCTTGAAGTGAAGGAGGAATTGTGACGGAGAGGGAGTGTTTGAATTTGAAGAACTCTAGATGTTTTGATATTGGCTATATTCTCAGAAATGTTAATTTGTTTCTTCGCTATTGCAATTTCGAAGAGTAAGAGTAGTTTGAGCAAGAACTTTTTTTTTGGGGGGGGGGGAAGGTTCTAAGGCAGTTTGGGAAGTCAAGGTGTGGAGGCAGGGACTCGAATGGGAAGAGTGCACTTGGCTGATAGAACTTTGTCGGGTATGGGACAGGCACTTGCTTCTGGGTGAAAAGGAGTTAAGGGGGGGGGGATTCTTCAAATGCCCAGACAGCAAACGCTATTCAACGAGTATGTGTGAAGCAAAGGGAGGAGCGCGGCTAGCAGAAGGAGGGAGCAATCATAATCCTGTTGCCACTTTTGACAAGAGAATTCTCGAAATTCAAAAGCAGAAAAGATCCACGAATTTCGTTTCTTCTTACTTCAATAAACGCTCGTGACCCTTCTTTCATAAACGTTTCGCAGGTATGGAACGAAGATTTGAAATTAGCGTTTTATGCCCTTCGATATGGTATCCATGCCATTCAAAAAGACCACTTCGACCGAATATGCTTCCCTTGTTAGGAAACAGACTCAGTGCAGCCGGGTCATCCTGTGAAGCATGCTAGCTCCATCGAATAGTGTCCCACGCATCATTAATACACTGTTGCATCAAAACGACTTTATCTTGGGCTCAAAGATCAGCGAAAGTGCTACGAGAGCTGATCACAAATTGTCGAAACATCGGCACATTAAAAAAAACCGTGAGGTCTCATTGTACTACAAGCCTCACTTTACAATTTTGAAACCTTAATCCTTTATGTGCTTTTATAATAGAGAAATATCAAGTTTTACATGAAAAACCAGAAAAAGCAGTATAGCGTTTCTAGACAATCTTTTTTCCCAATTTTGGGCTTCGGAAAAAATCCGCTAAAAACACATTTGGGTACTACTATGTGTCTACCTTATAAAGACCAAGTTGAAAGTCCGTAGGAGTTTTCTGGAAGGAGATCCGATTTTTAGGGTCTATGAAAAATTTTGATTTTTAGCCCTGTGTTTTACCAGGATTACGACTTAACGGATTTTGGGTGTTTTTTTTTGAAGAGCTTGCTTCGTTCTATCGATTGGTATCTTGAGATCCATTAGGAAAACGAGAACAGCACAATTTTGGAAAATTTACTTTTGGGACAAATAATATTTTCAGTAAAAATTTTTGGTAAGCAAGGAGTTTTGATTCCTGTCGAAGTCTTCCATGTGTTTGGTGGGTAATGATTTACTTGCTGGTCACTGAAGTTTACTCACTGAAGTTATAAAGGTGACTCTAAAACCCAGTTAAAGTTGGACAAGGGAATGAGACGTTGGGCTATGGAAATCGGAGTGCCCGTCAATAATCTAAGAAATTTGCGTGTAGGTCCTTGAACGAGCTTTCAAAGGATCTCAGTATGTTGAATTGTACTTGTTATAGTTTTAATATATGTCTTTAGTTGTATTTAGAACTTTATTATGAAAGTCAAAATCCGAACTATTCTTGTGTGGGAACACAAATTTGTTGCGGTTCAAAAAGGCATAAAGCATAAAACTGAAAACCAAAGCAAGACTGCTAATAGTTGGTGCGAAATTTTTAGTGTAGAGCTATGTTTTAGCCATCTTTCGAAAGCATTAGGCCTATAATGGGAATAAGAGGTTTAGCATGGCAATGCATTTTCAAGCAGTGAGGGACTTAATTAGGATTACGTAATGAAAATCTTTTTGCTGAGCGATGGGATGCGTTAAATGGGCTCCTAATGTTTTTGATGTGGTAAGAATTACGAAAGTGCATAATAATAGCATAGATCAATTTAAATAGCATTGTACTTGCAAGGCCTTTCAGTGCTCCACTTTCTTAGGCGCGCGCTCTTTTTCCTTCTTCTGGCAAATAATCCAATTTTAAGTTGTTATTGAACAATCAATTGCTCTTAATTATAGTTGTTGAACAGAGAATCTATCGGAAAAGTTCCCAGTACCTAAACAGAAATTGGTGCTTAATTTGCAGGTTAGAGATGAATTCTTTTGCATTAGAAAATCCAGAGCCACAAAATTTTTTTCGCCGTTCATGTATCAGCTGCCGTTTCATTGTACATCGTTCAAATCAAAAACCTTCTCACAAGGCTGTATTTTTATTTGCAGCGGAGGCACTTACCTTACTAACATTTTTTTAGTCCCGCAAGCATTATGACTACAATGATCAGTTACCTCATAGTTGTTCTTATGTTCATTGTTGGCGTTAAGAGCCGTATATTCGGAGGTGGGCTTATGCAGCCTGAATTTTTCAAGTATCAATGGCTAGCGCTCTAGGTCACTATTTAGGTGGAATGTACGGTGGAGGTTATGGGTACGGTGGGAAATACGGTGGCTTACAACTTGCCTGATCGGTCTTCAACTCCGATTCATCATGATTGCTTTATCTTCTGTCTAAAAGTTAATCTTTCACAATAAAGATGCCTTTTAATCATTGTTATACAAGATGTCCCAGAAGTATAGATTGTTTGACCATAGTTGACCATCTAAAAATAATGTAGTTCTGCAATTATTGTATCGTATAGCTGGCTTCACCTCGTCAATTCAATAAGAAAGTTTAGACGTTGCATTTTCAAAGTTTTATTATAAGATTAAAAAGTGGGGTCGTCACAAGCACAACGTTGAATAAAGAAAAGCAAACTCTACAAGACCATTAGGCGCGTTGAATAATGATTTTTATAAAAATGGCCAAAAAATTGAAAATATGGGATTTTAACCGAGCTCAAAACTCCACCTTCCGTAAACACATTGGAACTCCCAAATGCTATAATATACATTTGCATACTAGTATTTAGAAGCTCCATGGAAATCCCGGACAAATAGCAAGAAAGATTAGATAAGGGGTAAACTCTATTTAGGTTTCTCCTATCCTTTCACTATCAGCTACATGCATGCAAGTGTACAACCGAAATTGAAAGCACTTTAGCTTACACGTTCGAGAGAAAAAATGGCTTGATTTGCTTTGTTCAATCACATGATGGGCTTTTCCGTTAGGAAGAGGTGCTTTCATCCTCCTCAAAACTTTCAAAACTGCCTGGAATGTACTTAACGGCTAATTTGCTAGAAGTCAGATTGGGACAATTCAGTATTGAAAAGCTATTTTCGATGTGTCATGATATCATATTATAGCAAATATATCAAACAATACATTCTACAAAATGGAAGAGTGTTTGGAGCATAAGTATTCCGAACTTTTTACCACATCCTCCACAGTCTCCACAGTTATCCACTTGACCATCTCTCCACAACTGACATTTCTCGGCGCCGGTAACTTAAGCGATCCGTGGTCATCCTGCGCAAACCATCGCTCATAACTTTTTTAGAAGATCATTGAGCAGCTATGTAGCACGGATTTGCTATTAGTGCCCCAAGATCAGCATAATGATATGCATCACGTCTGGAAACCCCACTTCGACCGAGGGTCCTACCCTTGTAAGATAGGAATTGCTTAGAATTTTGTATAAAGTGATTATGTTAGGTGCAGCAAAAACGGAGGCTCTTCTGATGATTAAGTATGCTCTTTTCCAATTTTACAGTCGTTTCCGCACTATTGATGCATGGCAGCGGCACATTATCACAATAATTTCAATAAAATAAAGTCTATTTTTGCATTGCTAAGTAACTGTGCCCAAAATATGGTGTTTCACAATCATTTTCCTTATTTCTCGTCAAAGAAATTTTGCTCCTCAAAACGTGAATTGCAAGTAGACTGTGTGAAAATTAAGCCTTCATAAGCCAGTGCAAATGAACTACTTATGCGATTTCCAAGCTTGTGAAAGAAATTATTTGCAAAAACGCTTACATTTCTCTTTCTGACTAAAGACACAAATTTGTCATGCACTTTTTTTATCTTTTGCTAAGGCATCCCCACAGTTTCTGGCAAAAAGCTGTTTCTAATGGGACTGTGAATGACAAGGCAATGGCTCAGCAAAATGGGCATCTCAAAATTTTGATATTATTGGCTGCTTGTACTCTAAATACGAAAACTAGCAAATGAGAGCGTAGCATACTACTCCTACCAAGAGCTGCAGCCAAACCGTGCGCGCGTGTGTGTTTAACATAATCGTCTTTGCACCGCATAGCTCAATGTGGATTTGTTTGCGGTATCCACGAAAGGTGGTAACCCTTCTGTTGAATTCAGCGAAAGTCCAAAGCAATGGGATCAACGTATATAACAATCAATGGGATCAACGTATATAACAATTTCGTTTAAAAACCAAAGACGATTCGGTACTTTTCCGTTATCCGGACCCATTTTTAAAAGGCTCTCATAACATACGTTCTTTAGTCTAGAAATAATTTTTTGTAAATTCTACCAAGACGCCTCCCCGCCAGTGTCAAGAAGTTTTGACACGTCTAGTCCATTTTGACTTGTTTTTTTAGAATTTATTTTCGGTGATGTAAAAAAGCGTTTGTGACCACCTAAAAGCCTTTCATCTGCTCTGTAAAAGCAAAACTGTGTAGAACCTATCGCAACGTCTTGATTGCTTTCAGCAATAAATCAAACTTGTCTTCCTCTCAAAACTTTCCGCCATGCGTATCTACTTAGGAGAGATTATAAATGATAGTTGCGGTATCTCGCTGCTGCTTGTTTCGCCGCCTGCATATTGGAACTAGACCACTTTCCATTTTGGGCAAATCTAATCTGTTCAGTGATGACAGGTGACGTTATTGTTCGATGTTCATTTCTTTAAAAAACCTTTGATAATGATATCATAATTGACAAATACAGAATGAAATTACGTCGCTAAGTAGTGCAAAACAAAACCTTAGTAGAACATGTTAAACATGTTTAGGGTGGCTCATAATTTTTTACCGTTTTTACTCTAAACATCAGCATTTCTCGAGAACTGGGGCACCCACAAAAGATCCAAATACATGATCGTACTTCTGTATGTAGTTATATGATCACGTGCGTGGAAGGAGCTCAAAACGTTTAGGGGCGGAATTTGCCATTTTATCTTATCCATTTCTTTCTCCATTTCTAGCCATGGAAAAAATTCGAAAAGTGTACAGTTGAATATGCGATGTGTCAAACATATGCTAGGATAAATGGGGAATTTATTGGATTTTTCGGGTCCGAGATAAGATATTTGAAAGAAAAATTCGTTTTTGACTACTATCAGATTTCAGCTCAAAACTTCAGGTGGGATATGATTCGGGCAGACTTTTGATCGCCATCTTGTAGAGCTTGCTTTGGCCTGTCGAATGATTGCTCAAGCCACTCAGATGAAGAAAAGATACAAAAAGACGGCGGTTGCAGTAAAAACGGCAAAAAGTTATGAGACAGCCTAATAGATGAAATGCCAAATTTTTTGACACGTGGCAAAAGACTGACACTCCTTTCTGTGAGTATGGAGCCAAAAATTGTAAAAAAATAGCAAGATTCTTTTTAGAAAAAATAGGTCCGATAGTACCGATTACTCAAGAAAATAAAGTGGCATTTTTTTTTTACAAAATTCGTCCTAGCGAAAGGAAGCTCATGCAGCTGATCCATCTGATGACGTGCAACTTTGAAAGATATCTTGATGCAACTATTCCCATAAAGTCTGCTTCAGTTTCACATCTCTGTCAGTATTTCTGTTTTTTTTTCCTGGAAAAAGACGCTAAACGAAAGGCTACAATTTGACGCAATGCAGTTTTCATATTTATACTTCAGCGTTACCTTAGTTCGCTACGCTCTTTCACAAAATTTTTGGTTATCTAAAATTAGAGATTGTACAGTTCCAAAAGTTTATCACAATGTGATTCGAACTCCTTCTCTTGATTCTATTCCACAACGAAATGGAAGAAAAACTGGTAAGTATCATAAAGACGCTTACAAGAATTTAATTTGAACAAGCTTTAGACTTTTGTGATGTTCAGAAGGATGACTTAAGTTTCCTGATTGCCGGGGGCTAAGGACCCGCTTGGCAACAGAATTGTCACGAAGAGGTAGAAATTTAAAGGCAGTGTCCGGGCAAAAACTCGATTTTGAGATTTTGTGCTTATCCGAGCCTATTCGCTATGCTAAATTCGAAAATGCGCACTGGAGAGCGCGAAAACGGCGAAAAAGGGCTTTACACAGGAGGAAAATCAGCGGGTAGGCGGGGTCCTCCCCACTGTGAATTTGCGTTCTCAGCTTCCGGAGCGACCTCCTCGCTTCCGTTTTCAGGACAATCGTTTGCACTGGGTCGGTGGCGATGTCAGGACGCTAGCGGAATCAAGAAGACCGCTCCGGAAGCTGGCAGCGTGAATTCACAGTGGGGAGAACCCCGCCCACCTGCTGATTTCCCTCTTGTGTTAGAGCCGTTTTTCGCCGTTTTCGCGCTTTAAAATGTGCATTTTCGGATACAGCGTAGCGAATAGGCCCGGGTAAGCACAAAATCTCAAGATCGAGTTTCTGCCCGGACATTGCCTTTAACAAAAGTCTCTGAGCCTGATTTGATACAAGCGAATAAATGAGGTGAATGTGAGACGAAAGATTGCAGTTGAGTTTTCATGCTTAACTTACAGATTGCGGCTGGCTTCGTGCTTTCCACTGCTAGTGACAAAAATTATGAAGCACCAATTTCAAAACTTTATAACGTTTGGGAAACTATTATTTCGCGCAATAATTATTGTGTGCAGGAACACTGTACATTGCCGAACCGCTGTCTACTAGGAGATCTGACGCTCAACATAGTGCCTTCGCGGTGACGAGATGTGCATGAGCAATAGCTACGAATGTGCCATAAGCGACATTCTTTACCTTCAATTTCTACTCTGTTGCTGAATAAGCCTTGACAGTACGTCTTTACGAGGTATAAGAGCAATACTGAGTGTCCCAAAAAGATGTGCACACTGTTTGATCGTTGATAACTCTCCTGCTTTCATGTCTTTTGCCGAGCTTGAGGTACCATTTTGTATAGCGAGGATAAACTTAGATTTACAAAACAGAGCGAATCACCAATCACTCTTCGTTACGGTATGTTCACGGTATGAACTTTCAGCATACAGCGTCACTGTGGAATAAGCCTTTTAATGAAATAATTTCGAAAAAATCTAAAAATTTGTGTAGCAAGGTTTTCAGGCGTGCTAATTTCACTACATAACTTTCCACCAGTTTTTTGAGCTTTCTTGATGGCGTATTCACATTTATCACAAATATTGGAAAATCAGTTGTTACCTTAAATCTGGAATAACTCATGAAAGAAGCAGTGTACTAAAGTGCAATTTTCATATTTAGAATTAGCAACTTCGATTAGCCCAGTCCAAGAGTTTCTGGCTTGTTTGGCTTTCTTTCTGAGGCAAAATACCGCTTTCAAAGCTCAAAATCCTCCTTGAAATTCCTACCGTAATCCTATAGTAATGAAGAGCTGCTGATAAGTCGCTTCATAATGCAAATCTAAGTTGAACCTCGGTCTAAAGAATGGCTCCTCAAGCTTGGCAAAAGACATGAAAG